GTAGAGTGTAAAGTGGAAAATGTGGAGTGCAAAGTGTGGAGTGTGGAGTGTAAAGTGTGGAGTGGTGAGTGTAGAGTGTAAAGTGTAGAGTGTAAAGTGTAAAGTGTGGAGTGAGAAGTGTACAGTGTGAAGTGTAAAGTGTGGAGTGTATCGTGTAGAGTGTAGAGTGTAAAGTGTAGAGTGTGGAGTGTAAAGTGTGGAGTGTGGAGCGTCAAGTGTGCAGTGAGGAGTGTAAAGTGTAAAGTGTAAAGTGTAGAGTGTGGAGTGTAGAGTGAAGAGTGTAGAGTGTAAAGTGTAGTGTGTAAAGTGTAAAGTGTGGAGTGAGGAGTGTAAAGTGTAGAGTGTGGAGTGTGGAGTGTAAAGTGTGCAGTATGGAGTGTAAAGTGTAAAGTGTGGAGTGTAGAGTGTAAAGTGTAGAGTGTAAAGTGTAGAGTGTAAAGTGTAAAGTGTGGAGTGAGGAGTGTACAGTGTAAAGTGTAAAGTGTGGAGTGGTGAGTGTAGAGTGTAAAGTGTAGAGTGTGGAGTGTAAAGTGTGGAGTGTGGAGCGCGTCAAGTGTGCAGTGAGGAGTGTGAAGTGTAAATTGTAAAGTGTAAAGTATGAGAAGTGATACTAAGGAAGGGGGGGTGAAGGGTTGCAATGTAAGGAGAAGTCTTCCAAAGGTGCTGCAGGAGGAAGTTTGGGGTGATAACTTCGATCATGGCCGCTACCACGACATTTCTCTGGGAAAAGATTCGGGCTAAGGGCTGGCTTTCGTCCCCCCCTTCTCAGGTTTAATGTTTCTTGTAACGAACGCATATTTAGGACGCATATTTAGGACCTTGCCATTCTGGATGATGAGCAGTCTGCCAAGCTGAAGGGGGATCTCGAGGCCATTCCGAGAGGGCTGGGCATCTCAAATTCAAGAGAATTTGGGGCTAGCCGGGCTAGCCCCTAAAATTGCAGGTATATGGAAAACATCTTAAAATCGATTGGATGTGGGCAATGTGGGGATTGTTTAGATTTTGAACGTAGCGATTGAGCTTCGGTGGAAAGGCTGGTGATGCGGAGCACGCTTCTGCTGTGGCCAAAGCCGAACTCCTCGGATCCGCAACTGGATCCGCATCGCTGGTCATGCTAGGCCCAGTTTGTGTCATGTACAGTATTTTCCTTATACCTGAAATCAGGGAAAAAGATGGAAAAAATATAATATTTATACATAGAAAACAGATGAAAATGAAAAGTTGCATTTAGCTGCATATTCCCTCAGAATTCTGACGTTTTTGGACGAGATCAACTGCTTTGGACCATGTCCGGAGTTGGGATCATTTCCAATTCATCGCAGCTGGAAGATGCCAATCAAAACTTGGCTTAGGTATGGCCTTATTCCCGTCATCCTCTTGGCTGTCGTGTGGTGTGGCCCTGAGAAAAAGAGCCTTTGAGCTCTTTGAGCCTTGTTCATGGACTTTCGTTTTAAGACGTGCGAATGGAGCTCACATGCACCTGCGCAGTAGTTCGATGGCCACTCAAGGTGCAGCTTGCCATCCAGACGGCCAAGCCTGCCGTGGGAAAGGCTTGCCATCATCTTGACTGCGCCAGTGACTCCCTTGTCAAGATATGGGGTTGAATTATGTTCAAAGTACGGTACTTGCAGACAGAAAAAACATATACATAGGAAAAGTGTGAATCACGTGTGTGAGTTGAGTTTTTTTGCTTTCTGTTTTCTTGCCAGCGGAAGGCCATTGCTGCAGAGCTGCAAGGACATGTGAAGGAAGCAACGGAATCACCGCATGCGAACTACGTGTTGCAGAAGGCAACCCTTTGGCTGCCGTGGCTGCCGTGGCTTCGCTTTTTGATCAATTTGAGTCCAGCCTGATTCGGCTTTGATCCGATGCTGAGAGGTGATTGAACAGCTGAGTTCAGCAACCTCATCCTTCATCGCTGATGAGCTGCTTGTGAACGCGCAACGTTTTGTCGAAAACTCAGCTTCGTCTACGCTCACAACTGGGTGGAGAAGTCGGCCTTTTGAGTCACTGCTCCGGATCTTTCCGGATTTTGTGAGGCTCGCCATCGCTTTGGTTGCAGGATTGTGTGCCGTTTGGTGGAGCACTGCTCATCTGAGGCGGGATTTTGTGGGGCAATCAGGGAACTGTCTAGACAGACTAAACTGGTACAGTAAGGAATAAGGATGCCGAGAACTCAGGGCGAGCCAACACAGTCTTCAGCTTTGACTTTACTCTGAGTCCTTGGCCCTTTTGGATAATAGATTGGCCACGAAAATTCAATAGATAGAGCTCCGGCACAATTGGATGTCGGACCCCGCAAGGCGACGCACAACCGATGTAAATACCAAAGATACAACACCTGTAGAATTCATGCTGTAGATAGATGATACATGCTCACATCGTGCAATCATTTGCACCTTTCCACCTATGCCTCAGGAGAGCACCCAAAAGCTCATCGACACGCTGCTTGAGGATCGTGAGGAGGTTTGGCACTGATCTCCAGTCTGTTGACCGGCAACAGTTGAAGCATCTGGAAATGCGACTTGCCCAATGCATACTGTAGGCGGATGAATCCTAATCAGTATTGGACCTCTGGTTGGACTTTTGGACGTCTTCTTGTCGTCCTTTGACCGATGTATCATGTCAAGGCCCTTGACCTTTGCAAGCACAACTTCGGGCATCACGTGGTCCAGTCCGTGTTGGAGCACGGTGATGCAAGGATACGGGGGTGGTGGCCACTTTTGAACCTGGATTTTTGGGGATAGCTTTGGGTTTTGGCTTTGGAATCCTTTTTGGCATGGCTTGGTGGTTTTGGGATGGTTTTTGAGGGAACGGTTGGAGATTCCTGGCTGGGAGGCACAAGGAGATCATCGCTGACGTTCTGCGCCATGACTTGTTGGCGAACGCTCGACACCGAAGCGTTTGGTACCCCAGGTGGTGTCCAGGAAGGGTGAGCGACAAACAGAAAATAAACCATGCGATCATGTTATACCGTATATACCATGTCCATCCATGTCCCTCAACAGACTGATGTGTGCTGCTACGTTGCTTGACTGCTTATATAACTGTCTAGCCCATATGATGCTCATGTGCTCAGTCGAGCTACGTCCTGGAAGCGGCACTGTTGCACTGCTCTACCAAGGACTGTGAATTTGGAATCGGTAGTTGTTTTATTTCTTCGGCTGAGATCTTTTGAACCAGTGTTTTGACGCATTGGACTGGCTTTGTGCTTTGTTTTGAATTGAAGGACCAAGAAAGCCTTGTGCACTTCCTGGTCCAGCCTCACATTGCCGGGCACCCAGATGCTGCTTCTTGCAGATTAGCTTTTGATCCAAGTTGTGTGAAAATCTGCGTGACCTTGGCTGCTTCCGTTCAGTCCATGTTTGTCAGCAGATTCAACTTTTGCACCCTTCAATATTTGTTTAGGCCCTCAAGTTCAATCACCTTAAAAGGAGTTGAAACCACAGCACTAAACAAACATGGAGACAATTGTCAACAGAGTTGCTTCGTACGCGAGGTGGCAGAGCTTGCTCAAGCTGACTTTGGTGTTTTCGTTGTTCGAACTTTGCTGAAGCATCCTTTTGTCGATGCGGAGGTGCAGTGATTCTGAGCGGGATTTACAAGCAAAGTAGGGGCATGTACTGTATGCGTCTGTATGCTATTTGTAGTTCTCGTTGTTGTAATCGCCTAGACCTAGCTGCTGCAAGTTGTTGCAAAACATCAAGATGCTGCTCGAATGTTTTTGGTCAGCCTGTCTAGCACATGAATTCAAAACTCTCGAGCGGTAGGCTTTGGCACGGACTGTCCCGGCGGTGGCTGCTGTGATGAGCAGCAGTGAGATGCAGTGAGTTCGCTTGAGCATCTTCAGGGGATACCTTCGGTGCCCCCTGTGTTTACCGTTGTGGTGACATGTGATATCATGTGATGATTTGTGGGTGATTTGTGGGTGATATGTTTTCGTATGTTTTCGTAAAGTGACAGATGATGTTTCTTTTGTGGACCCAAAAGGGCTTTGCCCAAGTCGCACCCCTGGTGTGCAAAAAAACATGTTCGGTCTCGGAACTCAATAGCGGGCTGAGGCCTCAAGACGTCCCGTTGTGGCAACATGCCTGGGAAGCACATCTGGCGTTTTGCCGTGCGCAGGCAGCAATCCATTTCGATCGATTTGTACAGTGCCAGGTTGCCCGGGCTTTGTTGGAAGCTTGCAACCTGGAACCCGGACACTGACAGTGCCATGAACGGGCCACTTTGTTTAGTGTCAACGCCCAGGGCGAAATGATGCGAAATGTTTGTGTGTTTCCGCTGTTTGGCCCTCACCTAGACTTGACCACATTGGGCAAAGCTGTTTTCCGGCCGTCCGAGCATGTCACAGTCCGGTTGAGGCTTCAGGTCAAACCGCACCGACCTTGCGAAGTCTCCACAAACTCAACAGAGGTACTGCCTGAGTCAGTCAAAAAGTCCGCTAAGTCCATTAGCTCGCTGAATATTTCTGTTCTATTCTTTTCTCAGGATCTGTCTCTGAAATCAGTTGATGGAGATCCAGGTGCAAATCTTTCGCATGGCCTTGGCTCAGATTTCGGGTCTTCTCTCACCAATTCCAATTGCCGGACAATGCCCAATGATAATTACGACGTACTATGAATGACTATGAATATTACGGATGTGATGCAGCACCCTTCTAGCTCGTGCATTGCTGGATTTGGGGGTCCCTGATTCTTGTGCATTCCACTGAAGTGCCCACAGTATCATAACGAGGTTTCGGGCATTTGCATATGAACCTCCTTCTGCAACCTGTGCAGTCCTGCAAACATGAGAAACATGGGGGTGCAAGGCTTTGAACGACTGTGTTATTCACTGGTTTCCTTGTGAGTTGAACCTCTTGTGAACGTCAGCCGGGAGTAGTGGCTGATTCCTGAAGATTTTGGCCTGGGAGGAGTAGTTAGCAGTATACAGAACAAACGATACAAACGTGTTTCGCTATATTTCACCCGGGGTTTTTAGGGTTTCTTCCATGCATGACATCAAATTTCGCAACCAGACATACAATACATCATACATGCATACAATATTTTTGATGGAAGACTAAACAAGGCGGCACCCTATAGTTAACTAAGTTGGTTGATAACTTACAACTCCAGCAACAAGGGCTGCTGGTAGATATATCTATACTGTATATATAGTTGACGGGTGCTATAGACCAACTTAAAACCGCCCTTGAATTATTTCCACAGTGCTCTGTTGCACTGTGCAAGCAACGTAGGAAACTTGACGCAAACAATCAAGTATGAACGTTTTAGGATTTGCTGTTAGAGCAGCAATGTTTTAGAAGGTGTGTCAAGGTGGGTTACCACATTGCCAGACCATGTAAAATGCAATGTAAAAAGATGTAAAAAGTGTATAGTGTATGCCAACGTTCCGTTGCCACTTCAAATCTCGGGTTTCCTGTCAGCCGACATAAACCGAGAAAATCTGAAGGCTCATGATGAAAGCATTGTTTTCATGCAGGATTTGTCAAACCGTTTTTTTTCACATTTGCTGCTGATGTTGCCTCTATCAAAGAGCTTCTTGCAACATAACGTGTCCAACACTTGCATAAATTCCACATGGTGGATTCCATTCAAGGTTGAAAACAGAACAACACAATGATTTTGTCACTCGGCTACATTGCCATGGCGTTCCTGTGCCAGCCTGGAGCTGCCGCTGGATCTTCCCAAGTCAGGAATTCAGATTCAGATGGTTTCACTAGAAACGGCACAGCCAAACTAGGAACATCCAAACCAGCACGTCTCAGCAAGTCTCAGCATGTCTCAGCAAGTCTTAGCAAGTCTGCATTGATTTCCTGTTGACTCAGGTGTTTAACTTCACCTTCATCAACGACTGCAAGAATGACATCATTCTGCAAGATTGGGATGTGATCATCCCTGCGAGCGGGTTCAAAGAGGCATCGGTTTCTGTGAGATGCGATGATTTTGTGAATCTCTTGACCTGAGTGTTGCCCAGCACTGGCCAGGAAAATTAACAAGAGGATATATAGGATAATATAGGATAATTATTATAGTACATGGATGAATTGTGACGTTTAGCTTTACGGCTGGTTGTTGAATTGTTTCAATGCACCAGCAATGGTCCACCGACTTGGACGACTTGGCATGAGGTGCTTCACCTACGCCGCACTGGACTTCAAAGGCCCATATCAGAGAGGATAATGTGCACTTGCCTCAACTCACATCCAAAAAGGTGAGCTTATGTGACTTATGTGAGCTTGTTTTCTGTTACATGATGTAGCAACCTGAATTCCTACAGCGGCCGCAGTAAGGGTTTCGTTTCCATGCACATGACCCCCTGGTTGCGTGGGTTGTTTCCAGGATATCGTGGCGTTACCTGAGCGGTCCATGGGACACCGAATTCATCGAGCTTCTTGGTCCAAGTTGAGTTCTTTTTATTTCAAGAAGTTTATTAAGTTTGAAGGGGTGACAGCCTGTGTCAGCCGAAGCTCCAAGGTTAAACGGAGACTGGGCGGGGGTAGGAACCCCAATGTATGGCCATCCGAACTATGCCTCCTGGGCGGGCTTTTCCATGTCTAGCAGGCAGGTCCATGTTCCAAAACACATACCGCATTGCTGTCTGAAGAGTGTGCTTGATTCGGAACAGCTATGGTTTTGCAAAAAAAAACAGAAGAGGCAAAAGTGTAGATTTCAAGGATTTAAAATAAGTTTAAAACATTCTATATAAACCTATTTTGAGCGCCTCGCAGGTATGAAGCCTTGGACCCCTCTGGCAGATATGCGTGCCTTGCCTGTGCTGGGCCACTACACTTGCAGTCATTGCCATTTTTCGAAGCTTTTGATGGAGTGGTCAGCCAACAGGAGGATATTGTCAGATGATACAGGCATGAGAGTGGCAGCCCTTGAGTTTATCATTGCAGAATCAACCGCAAAGTCAACAGACATCTCAGTCCCAACTTGTTTGAATCTCCCCATGTCATCCATGTCTCCCCCGGTATTTGGTCCTTTAGGTGTTCTGACGCAGCTGCAGAGCTTCGATTTTCCGTAGCAACCTGCCCCTCTCAGAAAACCTTGCGTTGCTTGAAGATATAAGTGGCCTGGGTGATCATCCGAGCTGGAAAGTGGATACATCGTTCAACCATGATCAGATAAACCGCGTACTTTGGTCTTATTGCCCCATTGATGGTTGATTTGCGACCACTTTCTAAGTGGGATGATCATCTCAGAGCTGTGTGCTCATTACCAAGTAGAGGACATTCGCATAGTCTGTTTTCGCCATGCATTTCAATTCTCAGGTTACGCTTGTGACTTCTTCCCAACCCAATTGAGCATTCGCAACTGCTCCAGCAACCTGGCTGTGTGAGCTGCCTGACTGTTCAGTTTGAAATCTTGGCTATGCAGTGGTTCAAGATACTCACTATGACTTCTCAACTGACAAACAATTGGTGCACTTGTTGGCTTGATGCCATGAATGAAATGAGGATACTCCAGCAGTGAAACTTGAAATGCTTCCGACAGGAGTACCAAAATGCACACGCACCACTACTTGCAGATCTTGCAGTGGGTGTTTCAGGGTTTGAGTTTCATGTAGCACAAATGAGGCAAGTTTGCGCTTTACATGCAGGACTTGGGGAGGGCATGTCAAGTCTTCCCATGCAGAATTCTTGGAGATTTGGAGAGATGTGGAGATCATTCTTTGGATCTGCGTACTTCAAAGATCTTCAAAGCCTGTTTGAAGTTGAGGAGCATTCTTGGGCCATCAATCCCAATGGTACCCGCGCACGTGAATATGCGTCGACCCAGAAACCTGGTGGAAGGGAATTTTGCTCTCATGCTGAACTGCTGAACGAAATTGTTTTCTCTGTCTCCTCCCTCTCATCCAGGTGTTTAAATCTCTAAACAGCCCACAATGCCCAAAATTTGCAAGCAGGTACCAAGGTATTGTATGTAGAAACCGCATCTAAAGCCTGGCCAGAATTGAAGAGCTAAGGAACATCATCAACTATTGGTGTGCTCCAGAATCTTCAGACTGGAAGGGCTGGGGTGTAGGCCAGGCGAGCTGAAAGACATTTTTTGCGATGAGAGCTGCTATGAGTGATTCGTAGCTTTGTCCCGAACTTCTTTTGTTTGGAGCCAGGATCATTGATCGATTGCACCAACAGAGATGTGCCAATCCATTTTCAGGCCCCAAACTCAAACAGAGACAGTACATCAGTATATCTCAATGGTTCAATTTCGTCAGCCATTGACATGCTGTGGGTTTCCATGCTCCAAACGTAGCAGCAAACAGAAGAGGATGATGCAATTTTGGCGCCACAACCAGTGAGGTGACCACTTGCATCAGTTGAAGAACGATTGATGCTTAAAGCTGCTGGAGCCACATGCGCTTAATTTATCTTAATTTCTTTCCTTGACCCTTTGCAATTGCTCAGGGGTCAAGTTTGCTAAGATGTTGATGCGTTTTAATTTTCACATAGCTTCAAAGCTAAGATTTTTGTCTGGGCCAAAGGGCTCTTCCTTCTTTTAGTGTTTTGACTGAGAAAAAATCCAGAGTGGACAGTTCACGACTTGCACATAGCCTTCACTTGGTGAACTCACGCACAAAGCTTCGTTCATTTCGACCCTCTGGTCAAGGCACCATCGGAAGAACATGCCATGATACTGTTTATTTGACCTGTGCTCGTAAGAGCGACAACGTCTTAGATTTGATATTTTCCTTTGCAGTGTGAATACATGGCTCTTACATTTTCTTATGGTGTTGTTGTGTCTCCATGCAGTCTTGCCTATTGATCCTTCCGACTCCTTCCCTGTTCAAGTCAGCCACAAATTCGAGCACCTTCCCATCATCGAAGCGCTCCCATGGCAACCCATCCTTCTCCCCGCAAGGGATGCCAGTGGTTGTGCTTTTGGGGCCAGTAGGACTCGGTAGGTGTTGGGAAAAGTTTGCTTGCCTCTGCTTTAGCAGGACTGCAGCTGCAAAATCCCATCTTCCAGGTTGGAGACCCAACGCGAGCAGTGACTCTGGAAGCTACATGCCACCATGCCCGCTTGTTTGAGCGAGCAGCTGAAGAAGCATTGGTGATAGATAGATAGATAGATAGATAGATAGATAGATATAATTATAGATAGATATAATTATATATATATATTCTATTTTATATCGATATATCTCAATGATTTAAATTTCGTCAGCCATTGTCATGCTGTGGGCTTCCATGCTTCAGGCGTAGCAGTAAACAGAAGAGGACGATGCAATTTTGGCACCACAACCAGTGAGGCGGCCACTTGCATGAGTCGAAGAATGATTGATGCCTAAAAAGGCTGCCAGAGCTAAGATCTTGATGTACATCCAAGGCGTTTTTCTTGCTTCTGAAATTGTTTGTTTAACATGTTTACATTTTGCGCAGATGGTTGGGATGTGTTTGTTGCCACTTTACGATGTCGAACACGGCGTACATCAACAGGAATGGCCTTATTTCAAAGGGTTGGACTTGACCCAGCCTTTTCTACATTTTGATCAACCAGCAAATGCTGGTCGGGGGGTGTTCAGAATCCAATGTCGTGAGTCATGATTGCTGACATTTGAGACAGCGTAGCTTTTTGGTGCTGAACACCCCCTGCCTTTCTTTTGTTCAGTGGTGTGAGTTTTCAAGTCAGGCAGCATCTGCACATGGCCTGAAGATTTGGAAATAGAGACGGTGGATAGACATAATCATGGGTAAATTCAAACCTTACAAAACTTGATTTGAGTTAGACGGTTAGACCTCTTCCCCATTTTGAAAACAGCATTTGGGTCCGTGTTTGACATTGATTTCGCTTGACTGAACCACTCCGGGTTGCGTATATGGGGCACCGAATGCAAAGTTTGCTTATGTCCTGCAGTGACGTACAGAGGCAGTGCCATGTTGGTGCTTTGCGTTCTCAACGTATTGGTTGCAGCCCTCACCACAATCTGTTGTGCCATGCTGTTGTAGGACTTGTGGGGTTTTATCCTGCAGGGCGCAATGGCGTGATACCCGTGCAGTGCTCCGCCTTTTCGACAGCTACCAGATTGCCGCTCCAAAAGGAATGTTTTGCCCGCTTGCAATCGTTTGATTCAAAGATGGATGGGCTGCCCAAAAAAATGCAGCAAAAGTTGGCGCGCCTGTGATTGCGCAAGGCTTCCACTTCTGAATAAGCTTTGGGCTCAGAAACAAGTGGTGCTGACACTGTGGGGTCAGAGTTGCAGACGCAGCACTGGGACCGTTGCTGCTGGGAGCCAGCGACTTACTATTGACTGATAATCGCCCATGCTTTCGTTTGAACTCTGAGAAAGAAACATGGCATGGGATTCACCGGATTCACCCAATATAGAACATGTATGAACTTCATAATGAACATGTTCACCGTGGGTAATCGAGTTACCTGGCAGACTAGCTGTTGCCAATGATCGATTGCTTTGCTCTTTGCAGCAGGTCAACATGGCACCGAAAAAACCTGCAGCAAAGAAAGGCCGGACACAAACTTGCAAGTGCAGAAACAGACACTCGCAAAAACCAGAACTTGATTCCAAACTATTCCAAAGCTTTTTGATCTTGTGCATGATGCCTTTTGTTTCTCCTTCAAGCACACCTCTGGAGGGACCGTCAAGTCGACGATGAAGGCCAGTCACAGCCATTTAGTTGAATGCAAGCATGAACTGCGCATTTGGTCTTCGATTCTTTTAATTTCTGTGTGTAAGTGTATCTCTGATCCTGGTTTCCACTTGGAATTTGACCAAGTTGGAAGATTTGTGGTGGGTTGTCCAATTTTGAGACACATGTGGTTGGACCGACATTTTCTGATGAAGGCCTTAAAAAAACCCGCTGCGCTCAAGAAACCCGCGGCCGCAGCTGCTAAGAAACCAAGTGTCCCAAAGGCTCCTGCTTCAGAGTCGGGGCATTTCAGTGCATCAGTGCAGACATGATGGATTGTTGTGCTTCTCTGACTTCTCTGATATTTTATGGGTCGTTTAAAGATCAGATTAGATCTATCTTTCATTTGCATGCACATTAAGCACACACACACACATACTGTACTTACATGTACTTACACTTATGCAGTTGTGGTGCCTGAAAATGCCTGAAATATGTAAACTGCCGCACCAAGGTGGCCAAAGAACTCCAGGACTGACTTGCCCAATAGAAATGACATGAAATGACTGTTGTGGTTTTGCTCGACTCTTTGCTTGTAAGAGATGAGATGAGCCATTTCATTCTCGCCCAAACATGTCCATGCTTCATTTCTCAAAGATTGATATGATTGACCGACATGTTGTCCAGGGTCCAGAAATTTTTGCTGAGCGGTAGGGCACGGAACAGTGGGATGTGCTGACAACCCGAGACAAACCAATGGTTCCACGTCTTTCGCAGGCATTGGAAGCCAAAGTGGTAAATCTGGAGCGACGGCCAGATAGGTGGAAGCGCGTCGAAGCAGCGCTGAAGAAGGAGCAAACTCAAGCGAGCGTCCACAGAGATCAGAGTCTTGTCCAGGGTCAATCATTTTGTCCAGGTCAATCATATCAGCCCTGGCACAGATAGCCCCAAGCCACGGCACTGGTTTCCATTCAAACCTCATGGCAGCGAGTGTAAACTTAGTATGCCACAATGCATGCCAAATATGCCAAATTGGGAGTTCACATGTTGCAAAGCCAACCTTTGGTCCCTCCCTTTGTGGGATGTTCCCAGCAGCAGACCGTGGCGGCATGTGGCAGCCAGGAGCTGCCGTGGTTGAAGGTCGAGCGCTTCCTGGCCTCGGACGGATCCAAGAGTATCATCCCAGAAGAGGCCATGGGATGCCATGGGTGACGTCATCAGGCACTCATTTTGATTCAGATTGATTAAGAAATAGATAGCAATGGCATGGAATGGCACTTGGATGTTGTGACCAATTGCCGGGTCTCTATTCCGGGAGCAGTTTAGTAGTGAGTCGTGAGTAAAAAATGCTAAACAGAACCTGGTTTGAGCTGGTAGACTACCGGGCAGTGGCAGTCACAAGATTCCAGCTTGTTTCCACTGTGTTGCGGCCACTGTGTTGCGGGCTCAAACAGACCTTCCTCATGCCAAATGTGCGAAACGGTTGCTTGAACCTGTTGCTTCATGTGGTGGTGCACAATGCCGGACCGATAGGAAGTCTCAATGAAGTGGAACACCTCCAGAAATGCTCCTTGGTCTGAATTAATTAGTCTGATATTTTCGTGTCGCTGCTGTGGTCATATTCACATATTTCATATTCATTCCCACTCCATCTTGGCGTTCCAGGATCATTCTCATGTCACAGCAGATTGCCACTGCGGCCGCTGCAGCAAGGGTCACCCGCACCAAGGCCAACTTCGCAGACTTCTACGAGTGGGCCTTCGAGGCAACGTCAAGAGAACTGAGGGATCAAAGGTAGTTCATGGTAATTACCAATGGTAGTTCAACTTCTTTCACCATGTCAAAGTTACGCAGTGATGACTGACTGTGGAATTGACCGGAAATCATCAATCCGATATAATCCGAATGCAAGTTTCAGGATGGCACCACTTGGATGTGGGCAGCGGATGCCCCGGAAGAGGACGACACTTGGAAATTCACTGAGAATGGTGATGGCTTCAGCTTCTTGGCCAATCTTTCCAGTGGACTCCCAGTGGACTTTTTGGAGATATTCTGCGATATCTGCGATATCTGCGATATGTCTTTCTGCAATTTTCTGCAAGATGTTGATGGGTCATGGGTCAAAAATCTCTGGGACATTCTGGGACCATCTTTGGCTAACATGACTAACTACCAACCATTTAGCCAGGGCATCACAGGCAGCGCCTCCCCGAGTTATAAGTTTTCTACGATTATGATGATGATGATTATTATTATTACCATTATTATTATCATTATTATTACTGTTGTTGTTGTTGCTGTTGCTGTTGCTGTTGTTGTTGTTACTTTACATAGCATTTTAGAACCCCACCTAAGTAGTTTATATATCCACAAATAATACTTAATGAATCCATCCAAGTTAGCCGAGTAGTGCCGAGTGAGATGCTTCCCAACACAAACCTATATAAATTGACTATACATCTCCCATTTTTGCTGGTTGAATGATATTAAATCCCCAATGTTTGGTGGATAAACCCATGTTTTCTTAGCCATCGATTGTCCCACAGGCTACATAAGAGATGCGCCGACGTTTCATGAGAAGGAGCCACCCACCGGGACACTCGAAAAGAAGGCCACGGGCGAAAAGTTTACTGTGCCTCAGCGGAAGTCTGAACTGACTGGTGAGGTTTATTCCGTCAAACATGGGAATTCTCGCAACCAAAATCAGAGTTGCCCCAGCCCATGGGTGAATCATAGCCACAAGGGTAACTGGGTAATTCTACTTCTTTATCTGGGTGGGAGCAAGCCTGAAATTGAGATTCAGATGGGAACAACCAAGACTGAGTATGAGGATATTACCAATCAAAGCGGGTTGGTGGTTTAAACATATCTTAAATCTTCTATCTTACCGATTATTATCTGAATTGACAGGTATTCTTTGCGATGGTCGAACCCCACAACCAAGTCATATGCAAATTTGGGCTGTGCCACGAATTGAGGTGAAGTTGCGCTTTGCCACGAAGTACTTGAACCCGGGAGAGGCAATGTGGAGCGTTGCAACTGAGATTTCACCAGACATATGTTGACATGCAAAATCGAAATTCATTTTCATAAGACCACTTCACTGCTTCCAACTGCTTGGTGCGATGTCAAGCAATCTCATTCCACTCTCCGATGCGCATCAGACACAGCTGATGTCTGGGGGTGAGCGTGGCTGCGCGCACTCGCACAGGTGCGGCGTCAGGATTTTTGAGACACGGAAGCCAATGGATCATCGGAACGGGGTGAACATCCTCACCAGCCTATTTTGATCTACTTTGGCTTGCTATAACAGCAATTAATTAGGGTACAAGGTACAAGAGTTTGTGATCCATACTAATCGTTACTAATCCATACCCACTGATTTGGATCCATGGAAATCTGGGAATTCTTCAGCTTGCCAGGCGCTTGTGGGAATTTGCAGCAGCCCGGGAAGAGCCCACCCTGGTGCTTGAGGTGGGGATTTCCTGGACAGGTGGCAAAACTGCCGATTTTTGAAGGTGGCAAAGTTGGCAAATTGATTCTGGTAAGACAGCATGGGACCAATGGACCAACTAGTTTGGGATGAGTCGAACCCTAGCCAGCTAGGAATGATTAAAAGGACTGTTCGGCATTGGATGGACGAATGCAATCTGAGCCTGTGTTGACTGGGTGCTAATCAACTCCTATCTACTATACGCAATGAATTGATATGGGACGTGCAGGAACAAAGACCTTGGATTTCGTATGGGAACACAGCCATGGACAGTTTAGACACAGTTGCCATATATATATATAATATATATAATCATATATATATACAATGTATATATATGTGATTTTATATGATATAGCTGCTTCTTGTTATATAAATTGCAACCTTATCTATCAATCCGATTGTTTCCAATGAAGTGTTCCTGGATTATTCCCACACTAGACAATTTAGATGGTTTGCAATCAGGACAAGTTGCTGAGCGATGGACCCGTAGAACAGTTTTAGGATTTATGTCCAAACATGGTCAGAAGTTTGCTGCATATGATTCACCCTCGAACCGCAGGGTCTACCACGCAATCTTTCCGGCCAAACACATTTTTTGTATATACTTTAACATGACTAAAAAGACATTCAAGACCTTGGATTTTGTAAATGCGACTCCAGCAAGACTCAATCGGTATGCTTAGATGCTTTTATTTTTTGCCATTAGTAGGGAATCAGTTCACAAGCAGTCCTGGCCAAAGCCATTTGCAAGATGCTCACCCACCAACTTTCTCATGACATTAGTTCTGCCAGAAGGCACCCCTAACGCTTATTTTCTTCCGACAAAGCACGCCAGTCATTGCCTACTTTGTCATTCATTTTGTAGACTTCGACGTCGCCCACAGCGCCACCAAAGCCGCAGCGCAGCCACCACAGCCACAGCGCAGCCAGCCAGCGCGGGGCAGCCGCCGCATAGTGCCCTGCCCACGGCAGGGATTAATCGTGTCCACGTCGAGCACGTAGACAGGCAGCCCTGGAGCTGGCCAAGCATGATATGACCTGCAAGTCATGTTCTGCGTCCCGTCCATCAGGCCAACCAAGACGTTTTTGGATAATTGACATCGGTGCCAGTCCGTCCTTTCTAAACGGATTTTGATTACACAGCCACACAACATGTTCTAACGTGCACTCAGAACCACTGCAAAATGGGCAACATTGCGGAGAACCACTCATTACCTCATATGCCTTGGGAGACACGAAAGCACCGGTGAGGCAAGCCAAACTGTCGGCATTCAGGTTGACCTTTTTCAGCGCAGCAAAATGTTCTGCAGTAATTCTAACATCAACACATTCGGCGGCATCCCTCCGATTGGATTGACGCCATTCTTCAAAGTTTGAGAATCTCCATGCATCTCTCAAACGATGCTGGAGAAAACCGTTGGGATCATTCTTGGGCCTAAGTGCATTAGGATGAATTTTAATAGTGCCCACTCTGTCGTGAGTCCATTCCCAAGGACCAACTTCCGTCAGTCCGACATTTTCCATGGCAATTCGGAGGCTGCCATTCCAACCACTACGGGCGTGGGGCCACGCAGGTAGTGCTCGCCCAGTGCGAATCACATATCTGGTGAGAACTCTGAGGCACGTACTTGCACTAGCCAAGTGCAAGTCCCAATTGTGGCCTGTCACAATTTTTAAAAGCGGCACACTGGATTGCTTGGGCCAAGTGTGAAATGTTTTCGCCAGTTGAAAGAAGTCGTGGGCCTCTGCTTGCGTAGGTTGTCTACAGACCAATCCCCAACCAGCCACAGTGGGCACGGTCATGCGCGCCATGCGCTGTTGGCGTGCACCACCACCGGGCAAGCATCGGCATTTGCGAGCTTTGACTTTGGCTGTGTGCTTGCGGCTCACTTCCTTGCCCACAGCTTTTCTGCGCTGTGCCGGCATAAAGTTGAAGCCAAGGATGCAAGTAGCATCTTCCAAGCTGGCAGCTGGGAGTCCCAGCTTAACCAGCTTTCGTCTGATGGGTTTGTTTCTATGAAAAAATTGTTCTTTCCCAACACTCTCCTTGAGACCAATTTTTGCAGTGTTTTCATGCCACATATCACGCACCTTCAGAGCCTCAAGCGGCTCGGGACTGACAAAGCTGCGATCATCTGCATAAATGGCTTGAGTGGTTGCAGGGAATTGTCGTTCAATTCTGTTGCCAATAGGTAAAAGGACCATGCACATGGCCAGCATGGACCAGCAGTCGCCCTGCGGCAAGGAGTTGCCGACCAAGCAAGGTTGCTTCAGGATTTCGCCTTGGTACTGCAGAAATCTGTTTTGATTTGTCCACGTATGCTGCAACAGCGCAGCGGTGTGCGATGGCAGAAATCATTGCCTACTTTGGTGGTTGGTACAACGGCCACAGTTTAACTCCCTTAAGGCTTAAAAGGAGCTGTCCCACTTCTTTCTGAAGATAAAATCCCTTGACAACTCTGTTTTTTCTTGCCTCGAGGATGACGTGCACATTGGCTTTGACCGAAATGGTGATAAGGGCAAGATGAACGGCAAGGTGCAGCTGTAGCTGTGAACCCCTTGTGTAGTTGATCTAGCTTAAGAGAATTGAAGAGAGATCAACATAATCAAACCGAGGGTGATTTATGAACACTTTTGATACAATCAATTTCGAACCAGTGCAGAGTGCAGATCAGTGCAAGCGTGCTGTGATTTTTCTCCGCTACCGGAAGGTCTTCACCAAACGCCTGGAGGAAGCCATCAAGCGCGCGCCGGCAGATTTCGAGCCTTGGAGACGCGGGAACGAGCCGTCCATCTCTGTCCTGATGGAACTGTATTAATTGTATTAAGTAGTGACAAGATGTAAAATAAAACAACCCAGATCAATAGTGATTGATAGTGATTGTACGTGGCGGTCGTCCTGTTCTGACCCTTCTTTCACTGTCTGATGGGTGTGGTGCCACTGGCTCGACAGAATGATTCTGAAATTTTGGTGGCCAAGGTTCCACATCATCCATCAAGACGTTTGTTGCTGTTTCCAGGGGCTTCACTGAATCCAGTAAAACTCTTGAAAGATAATGGTGAAATATCGTGAAATGTCTCAAGGGTGAAAATGATTGAAATGCGCCAAGGATGTGATCTATTTGGGCTGGAGTGGTTGGAGAGGTGGCAATTTCAAGCTTTGGAAGGCCTGAGTGGCCTGAGCCCTGAGTTCCCTACTGTGACCCTGGTGGATGGCGGAGCTAAAGCAGCTGTTCCCACGTGCCGGGCAGGAGGATGATTCTGGACTTGCTCCAGAAGACAAGAGTTTCCTTCAGAAGGACTCCGCACCGAAACAACATGAAACAACATGAAACAACATGAAACAACCTGAAACAACCCGAAACAACATACAGTAAACTGATGTAAACTGTATCATAATGTATCATACAGTTACCCTATGAGACGTCGTGCACAGTCTCTGTAGATTGGCTAGTGCCTGGCTAGTGCACATATGAATCCAGTACAATCCAGGAGATACCATCCAATAATACCCTGCGAATCCAGCACCCTGTGAAGTTCCGTGAATCACAATGCTTCAAGACTTCCAAGTCCAAAGCATGGGATGCATCTCGTGTTAAAAGCCTCTCCACGTCATGGAAATGTGGAACACAGGAAAGTATGATGCTTGGAAATTATTCCTTGGTCCTTAGGCAGTTGCAACATTGGCATGATGGATGACTCGCCAGAGAGCGGCGTGCTGCATAACATGAGTACACACTTGTGCACCGTGTGTTACTCCACCTTGGCTGCAAGAGGCTGAGTACGTGTGGACAACAGTGGCATATGTGATTTCACAGGTTGGAGTCTCAGTCTGTTGGTGGCGGGAGATCCCATGGCCCCACTTGATAAGCATACTCAGATTGGGGGAGCCAAGCGAACCACAACATTCTGAGACAGTGCTTCAAGGGTATAAACAGTATAAACATGCATCTAAAATTATCTAAACATCTAAAAGCTTTTGGCAGAAGTTGCGGTCGCTGCTTTGAGTCTTGGACAAACATGATGTCATATATGTCTATGTCAGCATTCACAGATGCTTAATTAGAATCTTGAGGGGAAGGGACTGCATGTGTGGGCAGTGTTGTGGTGCAGCTATGCTCCTCAACGTGCATCTTGAGGTGTTCAAAACGAATAGTGTACCCCTACATTCCATGATGTATTCCATATTTTCTGATTAGAATGGCCATATATTGGAGGCAATATTCCCCATTGACAAAGCCACATTCAAAATCCTAAGGCTGGTGCCAAGAAATTGCTGGAAGTTGCCTCGCCCATCGATCAGCCTGTGGACAATTTCATGGCCTGGCAGGTGCCAGCAGCAAAGCGGCAGGGTCGTGCCAAAGTGATGGGACCTGTTCAGGACCCAAGCAGAAAAGGGCAGTTTTGCGGACTTTAGCCATTGATAATGACGATGATCATGATAGTAATAGCATGTAGTAGCAAACCTCATAAACCCAATTTGAACATCAGATTGTCATTAGCATTGTGCTGGTTGGTGGCCATGACACCAAGTGATTTGAGATCCTGTCAAAACTATCTGATGTCAGGCAATCAAACATGGCTGTGGAAAACTTTGATTTTTCATGGGAAAAGCATCCAGAAATGGATATCAACTCGGCCATAAATGGATATGAGTACGGGGATGTTCCATTGCTACGAACCTAACTATCTCCATTTGTGTTGGTCAACAACGGTTCATATGGGGAATATCCCAATATTTTGGCTACGTCTAAAATGTGTGATCCCTTATATCTTGTTAATATATGGTTTAACAATCCCTTCCCCTAACATTAACTACTGTACCCCCCAAAAACCACTATGGACCCTGCTCTAGCAGTTTAGCATAGTTTAGCATTGGAACGATTCATGAATTGGCGTCCCATATTGGGGTATTTGATATTGCATTGGTTCTTGATGGTTCCCTATTGGTATCAGGGGGACGGAAGCATATTGGAACATTCATTGTAAATTAAACTATATACAGTATATATATATATATACATATTAATATAATTATATATATATATTATGTATTATATTACGATAAATGGCTGTATATTAGTATGTATTCAGTATATTTCCATATACAATACTACAACATATTACCAGATCTTAAGCATCTAAGCATCTACTGAATCCGGCAGCGAATCTGGTAGTGAATCTATTTTGCAAATCCATTGCCAGCATTGGAGGCGAGCCAGGGCAAGTTGAAGTCCTTCGTGGCGCTGGATGCGGGGGACGAGGACTCCACCTGGGCTGGTGGCATCGTGGACCAGTTTGACTTTCAAGGAGATTCCGACATCAAAAAGTAATGACCCCAGAAAATTGATGAAGCTCCAAAATTGGAGAGGATTCAGTTGGATTCAGTTGGATTCAGTTGGATTCTGGCAACTCCATCGTCTTCACCAAGTGTTTTCAAGCTTCGTCTCCCAAGGTCCGATGGAGGCCACCAGGGAGATGATGCCAAAGAATTTGCCGCGCCCATGTCGACCTGAGATGGTTTGATCATCCACCGATATCCTGCGATGGGGTCAGGCGATGGCTCCCAGGCATAGTATAGCTTGATGGGTCATGACATATCGAAAAAGACATGCGTTAGCACATTTTTGTTGAACAATGGATGTGACAAATTGTTTGAATTTCAGCAGATCACTAGTGTTTTGTTGCAGCTTTGCAATGAAGTAGGATGAGATTTCAGTCTCGCACCAACAGCAGCGAAAGCAGAATCATGGTTCGCTCGTGGTGCATTGCCACTTTCCGTTTGGGAGAGTAGAGCTTGTGCTCTTTGTCCAGAACTGGGTCCACAATCGGTGGAACGACGCAAGGGTGAGCCTTTGGACGTCCATGATTGTGTCAGGGTTGGAGTCTGCAACTGTCAGTCCAACTATCAGTACTATGTGCCACTGTTGCTTGCCACCGCTGAATACACTGAATACACATGCTGCAAATACCTTGTGAAGGGTGATGTTCAGGCAAATGAGATGGTGACATGATCCGACCTTGAGGGAATGGAAAAGCAAGATGATGCTGGCGCCAACCTTCTCAAGTTCCAAAATTCTCTCGGCTCAGCCTTCAGGACCAGAACCAGAACCATGCAGACAAGACAAAAGCAACCCGTCACCACTGAGTTCATCTATTCATGTGATCTATGTTTGGATGGTTCATGTGTGTCGCAGATTCATTAGTGAAGAAGTCTATACCCTTGCTTGAGGTACAATGATGTACAACATGCCAGAATGCAGTACTTCCCATCAAAAAAAGCTAAAACGCACAATTCAAATCAATTCAGCAGGGATTCTGAGTCAATTCTGAGGTCTTTCCGTTTTTTTATTTTTTTTTGTTTATCGGGTTCAGCGACATAGCTCAACCCCTCAGCACCAGCGCAATGCGACGTCAGGGCACTCAGCTGAAGCTTCCCAGCTGAGATAACCATGTCACAACTCATCGTTGCGCTTGGTGAATCAGGTGAGTTTGGTAATATCTGCTACTGTAATACCTGCTAATATCTGCTAATCATTTTGCGATATTATGTTATTTCACCTTTGTTTCACTGATATTTCACCGATGTTTCTATGTATTCTATGTATTTGTGTTGTGTATGCTGAATAATCACAGTAGTTCATTGCTTGTCAATGTGGACTCGTCAACATCAATCACCTGTGATTGCTGAGATTGTTGGATCGGACTTCGTCGTCTCTTGCGGGCGGGTTCCAGCTTTCTGAGCCACGTGGCTGCACAACAAACGATACCCATTGGATCGATTTTTGATGAACGATGTGAAGGCTACACTGAAACTCTCGTGAATTCTTTCTCACTCCGATTACCAGCACTTCAGTCTGATTTTTGCATGCTCCAAGACTCCAAGATTACAGAAACGAACTTGAATTGTCTTCTCTTTGCGCAGACATGGTCACAAGGTGGTGATGAGGAGGAAGAGGCACAAATTTGATTTTCCCCTTGCATATCAGTAGCAGTATTTAGCAGGTATCTGACCGAACATCTCTGCAGGCGCCTTCGAGCCCTGAAGGTGGCTGTTTGCAGTACGAGGTAAGCGACCATGTGGATCATGTGACGCCACAACTGACAAGCAATGGCCAACTAATTAACGCCTTCCATGAGGATTTCTGTCAACTGTTGTCCCAATAGATGATGTATATATAATGTTGACATGCTATTAATAAACCCACCCCAAACATTAAGAGCATCTAAATAAAGTTTAGGCCAGACAATGGCCGGGAGTCCTTGGACAATTTTCCAGACCTATGTGGCGCTGAACCAATTGCCTCATTGAAAACGAATAAGTTGGCTCCTTTCTTCATTTTAGTGTTCCCAAATGAATTGCCTAATTGAAAACGAATATATAAGTGGGCGCCTTTCTTCATTTTAGTATTCCCAAATGAATTGCCTAATTGAACACAAATCTATACGTAAGTATATACAGACATGTCTATACACATGTCTATAAGTCTATATTTATACATAAATAGATACTTAGTGGTGATCATGGTCTGTTTTGTTCCATTCTTTTTTAATGAGGAGCTCCTCAATTTTTCAGAGCACTCTACAATCGTGAAATATCGTAAGGGAGTTTGTTCATACATCCAAAAGCTTGAAGTTGTTCACAACGCTTCACAGATCTTTCAAGCGACTGAGAGTGAGCCCTCAAGAATCCAACGCAGACCAGGACAGAAAGGAAGCTACTAGCGAGGTAGTACTTGAAGGCCGATAATGACCTGTCGCCTTGAGACAAGCTGTGCCTTATCCATCTACTAGTGGCGGTTTGCATATCACATCATATCACCGACGGCTTCACAGCTCCTTTTGACTATCAATGATTTCATGAGCAGGCAAATGGAAACTGATGAGACTTCTGGTACCGGGCATTTGAATCGGATACGAACCTGTGCATTTTTAAATATCATGAGTGCTCCTTGGAAACAGTTCAATCATTCTTGATCGAATTTCGGCAAAGAGCATTTTCAATCTTTTGAGATCTTAGTTTCTCAATGTTTCTCAGTTTATTTACCTTGGCGATTCTGACTTGGTCTATCTCGGTCTCCAATTTTCTGGCAGGCGGTGAGGGAGATGCAGTGTACTTCCAAAGAGTCAGGCCTTTGAGGGCGACCCGGGCGTGCAAAGTGTTGCAGCGGAAGCATCTTTAGCCAAGAGAGCCTACATGGTTACATGTGGTTACTACATGTTACTACCTAAAGCTCTGGTGATCTCATGTTTACCATCTTTCTATATCCTTCTATGTCCTTCTATATTACTTTGTTTACTTTCCCATTGTGTTCCCCTTTGGTATCATGAACCGCTGGGATTTTTGCAGCGGCTTCATCAGGCCCGGATCACATGCAGAAAAAGCTGGTGTCCGAGTTGGCGATGAAGTCTTGCAGGTTGGGCATGGCTTGCCTTGGTCTGAAATAGTCTGAACACGCAAAACACTTGTGTTGAAATGATATGAAATGATGAGATTTAAACAAACTGTGAAGCTCGCCATACAAACCTCCCAAAGTTGACTGAAGCAGCAAGCTTTCATCTGGAATCTATTGTAGATGCATGCTGCGATTGAAATGGTAGAAACACAGCACACAGCAGTGCATTTGCGTTGCGGCATTGCGACAGGTCAACCTTATCGATCCAAATGTCCTTTTTTGGCGTCCGGCGGAGGAAATCCTTCCTGCGATTGTTGGTGCTGCTCTCAATAGCGAAATCGCATTCAACTTCTTGCTTCAACATGCCTGCACAATGTTAAGAAATGTTAAGAACCAACAGGAGCCTCCATTTCTCCATGGAAAAATCAGTTGCAATTCTGAACTTCTGGGGTTCATTTCCCCTTGAAAGATCTTGGAAGTGGGAATGGGTCTAAATTGAGCACCTCAAAATTGTGTGGTTAATCGGTATGAGCCGATACGCCGATACTAAATGACCAATCTGCGGTCTGCTGAGGCCCTGTGCTTCTGCAGTGGCGGAGGCGCCCAGCCCAGAAAGTGGGCGAGCGAACGCGGATCAACAGCCGGCGAGAGAAGCTGTATTATCACGTGGCTGGCCTCAGACCTCGAATGGAAGGATGCCTTGGGAAACAACATGAAACAACATATGTAACATATTCTTAACATTTCTTAACACTATGTTGTTCCCCCGGAATTGACACAGCTCGCACTTCGGACTTTGGGACTGCGGAAGATGAAGGTGGATACATACTCGTACATGGTTCCCTTCTTGACCTTGACCGAATCATCCAAGGACGATGAGGATGGCTTGATTGAAGTTCTGACCCGAGTTTCACAGTCGGAGCAGTAGGCAGTTCATTTAAGTTGTCAATGAATGAGACACAATCGGAAGTTAAGGATCTCTTGATTCTCTTGGTTTTGTTGAGCTTGAAGTGGAGAAGCCATCATTTGAATTGATTTGTGCGCCCTTTAATCAAACTGATCTCGACCAGAGAATTTGAAACCTCCAGCTAAGAAAGATATGTTGTATGAGTTCTTCAAATTTGGATTTCAATAGAACATTCTGATGTGATGATTTGATTAATCTTTGTAATCCTTTGTGCTAATTTGATCTAATTTGTATAATTATCTCTGTATCATAGTCTGCCATACGGCCATATTCTGATGGGAGACTTGAGGTTTCAGAATATCCAAAGTCTCGAGCACAAGCCCTCGGAGATGGTGAATGGTGTTCACCTCAGCAATTTCTGTTTGGTCCAGGCAGTGGGTTTTCGCCCACGAACCGCATAATTTAGGTTGATACTGGTATGTGTGATTATGTAAATATGTGAACACAAATCTGACAATATCAAAAAAATGTGTGTTTTTTGCATGTTTTTGCCACTGTCGATCGTCAGCTAGACTCACGACTGCTTTTCCTTAATTTTAGATAAGTTTTGCAAGTTTGCTTGAACATATCCCCAAGTTTAATTGCGACTAAGTGCTCAGCGTGCTACTGAGGCTTTGTGGCTCATGTGATGCAAGCAACTTTGACTCACAAGAGCAACTGTGGCTGGCATTGTCTGGGTATTTATTCGATGTTAACACCTTGCCAAAGGGATTTTGATTGAAACATTGAAAATGGTTATGGCATGTTATGGCAACTCACAAAGTTAGGTTCCATAACGTTGGTTTGCGCAGGAGAATGGGCTATGACGCAGTCCTGTTCCTCCCAGCCTTTTGCCTCGTGAGTTTTCACGCAAATTTCATGGCAGGCATTGTCGTCGTTGTGGATTGCGGGACTCGCGCTTGCCGGGGATCCCGACATCCGGGAACGGCCTTGACCAAATGGCTCTTGTGTAGGGCGGGCACTGCGACGCATGGATGACATGTCTTTAGGCGGTAGATCCCAATAGATCATGGATGACAAGGGATGAACTCGAACTGTGATCAACCCAGTCTTCCCACGCTCCCTCAGCCGACCAACTTGGTGTCAGGCCTGTGAGGCCCCGGCAAATTCCAAAGGTGAAACCAGATATGATGTGCAGCGCTTGGAAGGGAATGGGGATCTCTGGGGTTTGGAGAATTTCAGTCATTTGGAAGTTTGGAAGAATGCTGAGAATTTCAAGACGCGCGGGTTCTATCCTGCTGGTCCTGCTGGCAATGAGCAAGGTTTGAAACGATTTGGAACCAATGAAGCGACCATGCCGCAGTTGTATCCTTTACATTGTACATACCATAGATGCTTTAACTTTAACTTGAATCTATCACTTCCAACGTCTTCGTTGGCACTGACCCGTGCCATCCAGGAATCCCAAAGCTCCTCATGTGGCCTTTGGATCAGTGGAAGTTTCAAAGCAGGACTGAACGCTAACGGAGTTGCGATTCGTGCTTGATTTCGTCATAGTTGTCAGTCAGATGTTGTCAGATTGTGATTCTGTTCGTTGTTTCAGCATGTTTGAACATAAAAAAACCTCATGAGGTTGTCACGTTGGTTCTTCGGTGTAAATGACCGAACTGGACCCGGGAAGTTTTGCCTTTAGCAGAAGCTGTTTCAAAATACTCTGTGCAAATTCTCAGAGTACGTTGTGTAAGGTTTTAGTTGTCGTGTTTACGCTTCCATTGCCAAGATTGCAGCCCTGGTATTTTGGCAACACACTCGCGCCGCCTCTTTTGCAGTCAGGACGTCTCTCAAGCCAAGCCACTAGCTTAGAGGAATGTGATTGATTAGTAGACCACGAAAGGAAGAATTCGTGGATGAATGTGGATGATTTCCAGTGATGTTATTCGTCATCTTGCTCAGACCCATAGAGTTTCTTCTCTTCCACTTGTGATGTTGTTTTTTACTATTTTGATCTATTTTTTACTTCCCATTCTGGTGACCTTTTGATCCTTTTGATCTTGTTTCGTGGCTTAGTTCCGGGCTCGACAGGTCATTGGGTTTCCGGGCTGGCACGGTTTTAACATGGCCAGCTCTTTCGACGTCGCAGTGGTGGGTGCAGGCCTAGGAGCTTTTCATGCCGCAGAGGAACTGGCGAAGAGCAAAAATACCAAGGTGGGCAATTCCAAGAACCATCCGAAACCACCGTAAGTTGATTGTTATAGAGCTTATGTCTGGCCATAAGATGTTGTAGGAATTGGCCAAACAGAGTTCTTGTTACAATCCATTGGGAATGCCGACATGTTGTCCCAACGAGTAACGAGTACCTGAATCTGCTCAGGTGGCCTTCATTTATGGCTACACCTTTCAGGAGTGGGTAATGGCCGCGGCCATCTTCTTGAACAACCCAGATGAGCACCAGAAGTGGACCTGCGGTGTTCCAGAGAAGTGGAAGCAGAAGTGGCCAAATGTCCAATACTTTCTGAGCTCTGTGGAGAGCATTGACTGCGACAAGAAAGAGATCAAGCTAATGAACAAAGGGCCAGATGCAGGAGCCGTGATTTCCTACAAAGCGGTGATCCTTGCCACAGGAAGCAAAAGCCCGTTGCTCACCCCGGCTCCAGGTATGTCATTGACAGAACGGGTCGCAGAGGTGCGGGCTTGCGGACAGGCTCTGAAGAGTGCAAAGACTGTAGTCTTCAATGGTTCTGGCCTGGTCGGCGTAGAAGCTTGAAGTTATTGAAGCAGGCTTTTGCGATCTTTTAAGATCTTTTAAAGCTGTTCACAATCAACATCAATCAACAGATGGGATCCTTTTACTGGAAATCTCAACAACAATTTTGTCAAATTTCACAATTCAAGGAAATAAAGGAATCATACCGTCACAGAAGCAAGGCTTGGCACATTTGCAAACCGACCGTTTCAGCTTGAAATCCAGTTTGACAGGGTTTTGAGCAAATTGCATTGAACCGAATTACTGCAGTGCAGACGTACCTGCAGTCATCCACATCGGTCATTGCTGTGAAGAACTTGGGTGAAAATTAGGAGATTCTTACCACTTAGGCCAGAATAAAGTATGGGGCGATAGAGAAAAGAATGCGGACACCCAAGGAAACCAACCAAAACAAGCACTTACAAAAGCTTGCTGAACTTGTTCCATAGAAGCAGCTTTTAATTCTTGGCATGATCATGGCCATCTGCTGGCAGAGAACCATTCGAGCTTGTTCTTTCACATATTTTCATTATTTTTGAATCTTTCTTGGTGTTATACTGTATCATTTCTGTTATTGTCAATTAGTTTTTTCATCACTGCATTTTATTACTATTTTCTACTATCCTTTTCAGATTTGGCATTTATTGTGTTTTTTCATTGTATTTTTTTCACATATATATATATTCTTCTTCTTTTCATCTTTAGATATAACGCATGTTTCTTTAAAGATAGTTTATATATATATACACATATTTGCATTTGTTGATTCTTTATTTTTATTCACTTTTTTGCTGTTTGTTTTTCCCTGTTTATCATTTGTTCATTTTTTTCTCAATGATATATAATTTTTACTTATTTCCAAAGATATTACAATTATTATTACTGTTCTTGGCATTATCATTTGTGTTGTTGTTATTATGCTTGTTTTTGCTTCCTTATTTCCGCGGATTTTCCTTAGGTACAACTCCCCCCTGCCCTTGTATTTGAGAATTTTTTAATTTTTCCAAGTGGACTTTTTCTAAAAGGATTGAACATCAAGGGGGGTTGTATTTAAGGAATGAAAATAAGGGAAAAACAAAATCAAGCAAAATAAGACAAACATAGTAATAGTAAAGTAATAACAATGAACAAATATATTCGAACAATACCAAACAATTAAAGATACACATCACAAAATAGTAAAATACTTAACAACCCAAAATGCACAACCATAGAAATTTCTTTTGCAATAATAAGATCAAAACAGATACAAAACATAAAATACATATAATACATAATAATATTGACACATGCACAAACATATGGGCAGTGTCTCCGCGCAACCTTTCTTTCAGCCAAGAACCTTCTACATTTGATTTGTATTTACGATGGTTAACAAACAATTTGGAAGTCCCTAAACTCAAATGCTTCTAAATTTGACACAACCTCGGCTCCCAGAGTTCTTTGAACCAACTTGCCAACTTGTGAGGAAATGTGCGGAGACTTCCGGATCCAAAATGGATATGGCGCGAAGGTGATCTTACTGTCGCGTTCCGGCAAAGTCCTCGACAGCGACTTTGGCGACAAAGCTCACACGCCCGATGCTGGCGTGGTGACGAAGGTGACGAACATCCTGAAGGACAAGTTCCAAGTAGATGTGAAACAGGGATCTGTGTCAGATCCCAAATTCTCAGATCCAATCCTCTCACCCGGCACCCTAAAGCTGGATGACGGTAGCACTTTGGACTTTGATGTCTACATCCCTTGCTATCCTTTAGGCCCCAACACTAGCTCCTTGGTCTCTTCCAAGTCGGACTTACTGGATCCGAGAGGTGCTCTGGTCACCAACGAGTGTCTCCAGTCCACCGCGCACCCAGAGGTCTTCGGCGTGGGGATTACCACCATCAAGCTCTTTGGTCATCCTGTTTCCTCTCGCATCACAGCGGCGAGTCAACACTGTGCCCGTCAGGCTGCTGCTGTCATTGAAGGGAAGCAGCCACAAGTCTTCAAGGACAAGGGAGCGCCACCCCCCATGTCACACCCGATGAATGTGAAGATTGGTCATGGCCCTGGTGGCTACATGATTTGGACAAGCCTTCCCGGACCTGCCAAGGTCTGCTGCTGTCAGTGTTGCAATGGCGGCTACCCCTGTTGTCCACCTCCTTGCTGCTGGTGCTGCATCCCTGGATGTTCTGGTGCCTGCGGCACATGTGGATCACCACCAGAAGGGGAGGGGCCAGCCAAATTGATGATCCACCTGTTGGCAAAGTTTCCTCCCGCCCATGGCTTCAAAGGTTTGGGGGATTATGGCGCAGAAGTACCGACACAGGCCAAGATGACCTGAGAGGTCTGAGTGGCTTGAGGCTCATGAGGCTCGAGATGATGACTTGGTGAGCACCGAGATATTTCGGGGCAATGACTTCCCCCTTTTGTTTCATTCTCATGCATGTCGCAGATGTGACTGAGCAGCGGCGCACTGTTTCCTATCTTTGTCGAGCCTCCTAAATTTGTGATGAAAGGGGGCTGGGTCCAAGCAACCATCATGTTCTACCATGCCCAAACTCAGGCTGCCCCGGTTGCACTCAAGCTTCAAGTGGCACACAGTGTACATTTACATACGGTATACAGTAAATGATCATGCTAGGGGCCAACCCCGTCAGAGGAATGCAACAGAGATGGACTGCTCCAAATCCGGAGATGCTTTGGTGACCTGCTGCAAAAAAAAAAACTGTGCCATTGGCATCGTCCAAAGAGCTCTTGTGCCTTGCAAGTGAACTTGATCTATCCTGTGGCTCCCTGCACTTTCCAAGGTGAGAAAATGTGAGAAGGTGGTGAGGCCGAAAGTCAGGTTGGGACCGCAGTGAACTCTCGAGTGGGCGCTGTGATCTCTTTTCATGGATGCAGCATCGCAGCCAGCTTCCATCCCCCCAAGTTAAAAAGCTGTGTGTTTGTTCAAGATCTCTACTTCTTTTTTGCCGTGTGGGTGCCGTGTTTGCCTCAGGGCTTGCTTCAACTCTGTTTTTCAATTTAAATGTGGGAACCCTGCTCCCAGCATGATTGATGGACAGGTTTCAGCCAGGCTCATATTTGTGATGTGTTTTTCAGTACATGATTGTGCCAGCTCTGCTGGTTGTAAAACCAGTACAAACTAATTGCATTACTATATGGATATACTGTATATCGGTATACTTCGTTTAAAGTTTAAGAGTTCGTCTTTTCTTGTGGTTTAAGAGTTTGAAGTTGGGACGCAGTTGAACAAGAACGTTATTAGGTGGCTTGTGAAGCATGCGCAACTCCTATGAAACGTGCAATACTCCTATGAAACGTGCATAACTCTATGAAACGTGCATATATAACTTCTATGAAAAGTGCATAACTTCTATGAAACGTGCACCTCTATAAAACACTGCAAAGAACTCTTGTGTCATGTGTATTCCAAAAGCCTCATCGTTCTAAAACACTGTAATGAACTCTTGAATGGAGTATACCTATATAATCCCATATATATATGTATATATATAGTTATTTATTTACTATTTCTGTGCCAGACTTGATTCAGACTTGTCTGCTATTTGGGCCTGCGGCGCCCACCAGGGTCGCCAATCCACCCGCCTCGTCCTGAGCGATTCAGAAATTCAGGAGTGAAGCGGAAGCGAATTCATTCAAAAACATTTGAATTCATCGCACGGCGTGGCAAGTGTGCGTGATATTTCTTCGTTTGGACCACGCAATTTGATAAATGCGGAACACCAATGCGAAACAATACAGTATCTTCTTCAACTTTGTTTGTTCAAGCCACAGTGCCGCTTAAATTCCTCAAACCTGTTCAACTATTTCCAACTTGTGTCCTATGTGTGAGAGTGTGCACGCTCTTCGTTTAGTGGTTCCTGGGGTTTGGCCAATCACTGTCCCTATAATAAACCGTGAGATCTGGAATGCAGATCCCATGGGTGGTTTGTAATGAGCAGCGGCGTCAACCCGCAAACAACGCTTGCTCCGGCTTATATTCATGTTCCCATTCGTTCACATGGAATTGATCACTAGCCGGATGATTAAAGTTCCATAAATCCACTATATCCACCATATAACATAATTCATTTGAGTTTACATGGCATTTTCATGAAGATGTGACGCTGTTCCAAAATCTTCTTGCACTTGGCCAATCTTTCTCAGGGACTGTGAAGCAACCCCCTGCACTGCAGCAGCGCGCCATGTTGTTTTTGCCGTCATGACACCTGTTTGCTACTTTCATTTGTTTCTATTTGGGCTTGGGGCATAACATGAAACAGAAACACTACAGCATACTGCAGCACTGTTGCTTCCGCGTGTGTTGAGAATTGGAATTATTGCCTGGGTGCTGCTCTTTTTGAAGCCGCCATCGGCTTCCGACCTGTGGGAGATAGTGTATCCAGTGCTAGAAAAGTGCTGGGGGAGTGTGATTTCAGCACATGGCAGAGCAGAGAACTGAATCCTCTAGCGGCAAGTCAGATCTCTTAATTAAGGGGCCTCAATGCCCCATCCACAACTCAACGCCTGGTGACTTTACTAGTCAGCCCCAGCCCAATCATCAATTTCACGTCATGTGCTCGTCCTGTTGACGCTGCTTACTATTTGTGTCTTGGCTCTAGCTTCGTTGGTCGCTTTGGTGAAGTTGATGCCAGATGAGACCTTTCAACCTCACAGTGACAATATTTGAGGCTGAGAAATGTGAGAAATTGCTAACAGAACCTAGGATTTGAGACACATGTGGATCTTCGATGACCTTTGATGATCCTCAAAGTCAGAGTTTTCTGCAGTTGTTGACAGAGCACAATTTTAAAGATTTCCAGCAAGACCCACAGTAGAGTTCCTACGGGGCCTGTCCATCCTGCAGTGGGAAGAAAACCTTGTAACAGTATGTAACAGTTGAAACCGTGGCTCCAGGATTAAATTTTGAAACCCATGATTTTCCACGCGTAGAAACCACTGCTTCTCATGAGCCAGGCCGATCGGTTTCTGGACAGAACTGGTGTCATGGGATTCCTTGGATACATCGGATCTACCCTTAGTATAGCAATTTCAACATGTTCCATGACTACTTGCTTTTATTTGCTTTTATTTGCTTTTATTTCTTCCCTTTGAGGGTGTAACGGTCGGGTCAGATCATGCAGTCACAATTTGCCTCATGCTGGCATTCAACAAGTTCTCTGTTGGGAATGTGTTTGCACAAGAGGATAGATCAGGCAGATTCAGGCAGACTGGCCAGCCGGAGATGTATTTGTCATAATTTGTCTAAGCATTTTTTTTTCTGCAGAGTTTGGTCAGGCCTTCCAATCTCGTCCTCCTGGGTCGCAAGCAAGGTCCCGAGGGGCAAGGTGAACTCTTGCATACAAGTGTCAAGTCGGACAAATTTCTCAAGTTAATCAACTTAATAGCCCAAGTCGGTGTTAACTGTCGTATTGTTATTCTTTAACATTTTGGGCTTTGAGGTAGGCCACACCTTTGTAAGGCGCTGAATGTTTGCTACAGCAGTTGAGGACCATGAGGCAGATTTGTGCTTAGTTCTGCACAGCAGGTAAGGCAGCATCTCTTCAACAAGGTATTTTCTGTTGAGAAAGTTCAGCCCCCCTTTGGAATGCAATATAATTAATACATAATGATTATATTATTAATATAATGCAGTAGCAATGCAGTATCTATTTCTGTTGAAACGAGTCTTTATGGATCAGAGAGGTGCAACAGGTGCAACAGGTGCAACAGATTCTGGAGAAGACCGATCTAGTTGGTGTTCTGACATATGTGACATATGTGACATATTAGTCTATGGAGCCGCATATTTGTGGATTAATTGGAACACTTTATTTTTTGAAGATTTGGGTTCATCGCATGATTACCCGAGAATTTTGGGATCAGTCCCAACATGATGCTTTGATTCGATATTAGTTGGGTTTCAAGATGTTTCAAGTACGGATTCATCCCATTTCAGAGCGATTTGTCCTGTGAAATTCCCAGCATCCAGCAATGGCCAGGTGAAGTCCTTGCCATTGGTTGAGCATCATGGGCGATGAGCTTCAGTTTGGACCCCGGCATGGAACCACATGAGGACATAGGACTTATGCAGCACATGCATGAACAAGACTATCAAATGTTGCCGCAAACTTGTCCATTTACTACTATATCGATATAGATTTGGACCTACTGTTCATGATTTTTGTCCATCATTTTGCAGCCACGCTGTCCGAGAGTTCCTTCGCAGCTATCAAACGAGACGAGTCAAGCATTCCTCATGTTTCTTTCAGAGGAAAGTACAATCAACAATCGCTTGTGAACAAAAACATTCAACATGTCAACGGGTTCCCAAGATCCACACTTTGCAGATCTTTGCAGCATTGGGCATTTGTTGTCACAGGTCCAGATGCTGCTGACGCTGCCTTGTTGGTGTGGATCCTGAGACCTCTGTCATTTGGTCACACACTGATGAATCTGATGAGGGTTGCTGCAATTTTCGTACTGGTTGGTTTGGTTTGTGGCAAATTTTGTTGCAGGGTTCGGTCACGCAGACAATCAATTCATTGTTGGACATATTGGGTATAGATCAAAGGCAGTCAAAGTGTCAATGTGCAAAATGTTTGATACTAACACTATTTAACAATCATCAATTTTGTGGGTCCATCGGTACCCTCGTTTGACCACAGTCGCCATAGTCGCAGTGTGTGTCAATTCTTTTCGTTGAAGGTTGTCAGGTTGTGACTTGCCAAGGCCTGGGCGAATGCCTGCTTGCAAAGTCATAGTGAAGACGCAGCACCAACCCTGGAAGTGCCGCGCTGAGCGCCAGGCTACAGAAAACATGGAAGACCCAACGGATCCCAACGGTGCTCAGATTTTTTGGATGCATCCTAATCTATATCATCCACAACAAACAAACAGGATTTTTGGATCTTTCTCATTTTGTTAGATGAGTTGGGATGTTTGAATTCCGCTTTCCCAAGGCTATCGTTGATACCAACTCCCTCTCAATCATGTGCAAAAAGTTTCATCTCGGTGATCCTGAGCAAGGACGGGGGTTCGAACGCCTCTGGAGGATGTGGGAAGATATTGAGAAAAAGACTGACTAGATGGAAAAGGTCATAGATTGCCATAGATTCTTAGATCACTTCTGAGGTTCTTCTTCAATTTAGACCAACTGCTCATAGGTTGGTTCGATTTGGTGGATGGCAGCTGCACATGAGTGTCATAGAGTGTCGCAATGTGTCGCCAGTCATTGTGCATCAAATGTTTTTATCATTGCATCCAGATTCATCCAGCCATCTGAATTCAACTGACCCAGGAGCTCGGAAGCAATCTGCCGCGCAGCGCCGCCGCCGAGTGGCGGAGGTGTTGAACTCCTGTCGCATAGGCATTTGGCGAAATTACTTTGAAATGCTGTGCCAAAGACAGAACCGGACGGAACCAAACGACCAGTGAAGATGGCTGTTCTTGTGACAAAGGAGTTAATCGTAGGGAAGGGCCAGTAGCGCATTCAGTGCTGTAGTCAATTGTACTTAAGACATCTTAAGACTATACAAGACTATAACTGTGACGTATGATATAGATTAACAAGATTAACAATAGCATCACTGCCAGAATCTGCTATGCGATCATTTAGAAAGTTTCGAAACTTGTTCAGAGTCTTCAGAGAAGAACTTAGGAACGACTCAAGGTGCTTGACCCTGACATTCCATGATTCCCTCAAAAATGACCAGCCATGTGAGGATCCATGGGCACCACCACATTTGGTTTGCCATACCCGTTTACCAATAGGAATTGTTGGTTCTGCATTCCCAAATTTGGCTGATGATTCCACCAGTTTTTGGTTGGTTACTACGATATTCTAATGAATTATTACGTATATACATGTGGATACATTTGGCTGTTATATATATATATATGTAGTATATGTATTATGGGATACTTTGTTCAAGTCCTTCAGATTTTGTCGACGTGTCAGCCCTCCGAATTTCAACTCTTTTGCCCTTGTTCGCCAATGGCGACTTCCCTTTCCACCTGCAGTCTATTCCAAAGCAGTTAAACACGAACGTTATTAAGGGGCTTGTGAAACGATGACAACTTTTATGAACCGATGCCAACTTCTATGAAACGATGATATCTTCTATGAAAACTTCTATGTTGATAGAACCATGAAAAAGGTCTTGATCGAAGCATTCCATTATACAGACACATACAATATTCTATAATATATATATATATTCTATAATATATTATATATATATATTCTACAATATATATAGAATTATATATATACATATTATTCTACACTGCCTTCACCAATCTTTTGCAATCTCTGAGCATCGGCTCAGGCCTAGTTGAGCCTTCCATGGCGGAGCTCGGAGGACCTGCAGCTGCGCCCTGGCTTCGGACGTGACATTGGACGAGATAGAGATAGATTTTACATGATTTTACATATGATTCTATATAAAAGATTTTAATGACTAGGACTATCTAGGACTAGTATATAGTACATACTATTAAATGCTAGGATAATATCAGGAACACCGTTGACAGGATTTGAAAATTTTGGCAATCCTCAATCATAAGAGGTTGCAGCCTACCAACCACTTTAGGCAATAGCATCCCTCACACATGGAAACAACTCCAGAGAAATATGTGACAAGGCTCGGAGCATCACTGCCGCAATTTTGCTGATAGCAGTTGAGGCAGGGTTGGATGGGCCTAATCTGTGGTTTGGGCGATAGACATGGATGGAGAAAGTGAGATAATCATATTTGGGTTCCGACTAAAGCCTCTGTGACCCGCAGACTTTGGCAAATTGGGAATAGATCATTCATTTCCAAGCATCCAAGTTTTTCCCGCTTGTATGGATCCCAATCATATAAAAAGAACAGTTTCTGGGTTCCATTTCCACCCTCACTCGGTGTTTTCCGTGGCAGGCGCCAGCCAAAGAGGAGGCCATTCAAGTCATTGTCACCTTGGACCAAGCTCAGCAGGCGCAGATGAAGGGAAAATTGGCAGGAGCTGCCTATATTTGTGGGTGAACACATTGAGTCCATGATTCAAAGACTAAAAGATTACATATTTCATACCAAAGCGAGCGAAGGAATTTCAATGAAGGGATAATCCGAAACTACTGTAATAAGTATAGTAGTATAGTGGATTGATTTTAGCACCAAATTTAGGTAACCATATTTGAAAGTCCATAGGTGTCCCACAGATCTGTCAAAGTGCATCCGAACAGGCCGAACTGGCACAGATTATCCAGCGACTTGGCTGGCAGAGGATAAACAAAATAAACAAAAACAATGTTTATTTTTTGCACCTATTAAAAGTTAGACTATTAAAAGGTGGATTGTCCAACCGCTTCCCCCAAAGTCTGAGGATCCACTGAAAGCCTGTGTGTTTCTGCTGCTGAAAGCACTAAAATGCTGAATCAATTTAATGTTTCCCAAAGTGACAGACATCCCAAAAATTCCCAAAATGTGATTTCCATTGATTTCCGATGGAGTCATCAAGCTGAGGCAACTCATGGAAACCACAGGTACCGGAGAACTTGCGCTGTTGGGGCGTTGGACGTTGGAGTTTGTGGCATCAATGGAGTTCTAATGATTCTGATATGATTCTGATATGATTCTGATTGTTGTGTTTGTGGTTTGTGATGTGTCCGAGTCGTTTTGTTTGTATTGTATTGTATTGTTGATTTCAGAGAAGAGACCTTTAAAGTCGCAAGCAGGTAATGCTGATTATGACAAGATCTTGAACAGAATTTTTTAGAGGTCTTCACAGGAATGAAGAAACAGACTCTGTGAGCAAACCATCCAACGTCTTGGGCACTTGAGCCACCATCTCAATCAGTATCTGGTGGCTGATCATAGTCTGCAAACAGGTTCTGTTCAGGGGTTACGCTAGCAATCAGGGACGAAATTGAATGCTCTTGTCTTGTTCGCCACTTCAGAAATCGCGTGACAATCACCCAAAAAGGCACAAATTGTGTTTTTTTGGTTGAAAACAACATCATGTATAATATCTTTATATTTATATCATATATATATAATTCTCTATATTATAATAATATAATATGCTGTAATTATACATACACACATCCACATGCATATTATCTAATCATGTTGTTTTTTTAATCTACCAATAGAATCGAATCATATCTCATCCAATTTAGATTTCCATCACGTTCCACAGTGCCCTTCTATATGGTTTTCCACAGCCCATCCACAGTTGCCACCAGGTTTGGACCCTCCGCCGGAGCCAGTGGAAAAGGTGCCGCAGGGACCGCCGGGTTCATGCCGAAGCTCTATGAGTTCCGCGCGACGGCGCTTCAGCGACGTTCAGCTGGGGGCTGAGGGTGTTGGATCATGATGACGATGATGGTGATAATTAAGGTTACAGGAGAGTTATGTTTATCTTATTTTATCTTGCTGTTTTTTGTCATTTGTTGCTTTTCTTGTTAGCATTACTATCATTTCCTATGTGTTACTATCATCATTCTTATTCGAAGATAAACGTTTTAACGTTTCAACTGGAGAAGAAAATCCCAGTGTTGCCGTGCCAAGGCTTGCAGGCAATGACCCGACAGAGATCGAACCCCTGCAGGCTGAGGACTCCACTGCGAACATCTTGGGATCTGCCAGGGATTTGTCAATGGTTGGAACAGGGAAAACATGTGATCCAAGAACTGGAAACATGTGACCATTTTTCATTGGATACACCAAAAACAATGTTTTTTCTTTTTCTGAGAAATATGATCCATTATGATCCATTGGACACTTGAATAAATTGAATAAATGATCATTTGGATCAGCAGTGACATGTAAATGTGATGCAAATTTGCTTTGACTATTTTCGAATGATGTTTTCTTCAAAAGTGAGTTCTTACGGAATCTTGTGGAGCAAGCTGCATTTTGATCATTTGGTCATTTGGATCCCTTCAGTGCCCAGTCCACCAGGCCCGAGAGTTGCTGCAAGAACTGGAACAATACACCAACGGCTTCATGGAGAAAAAGAAGGCGTGACGAAGTTACGAAGCGTTGTGGCCTGATCCAAGAAATACCCAAGAAATCCCAGGAATCTTATGGGGCGAAGATGAAGACACCAGATACATCCAGACACCCTACACTTTTGAGATTTGTTGATTTTCACCCTCGGAGATTCTATCGATTCACCAGTGTCAGTGTAGGTGGTAGGTAATATGCAAGAATGTAACAACTGATCATCTATTACTGGTATACACAGGTTGTTGCTTTCGGCATGGAGTCAGATGAGATGTGACAGACTTCCTACGAATTAAGGTTTTGGAGGACCAGAGTGTATTATAAGATGTTCTAAGCACCGCCTCGGATGTTATTCGCACTCTTGGCTGTGCTATTTGAAAAGGCATGAAAGGGCACAATCCGGTCAGATGAATCGTCAAGTTGGATGAGGGAAAGCTTCAGTCGCGTGCGTTTTTGCTTTGCAGAACTGCAGGTGCATTCCTCCATCGCAAGCAAAGTAGCAGACGCCAAGGCAATGGCTGACTTCCGAACGGGTCCCGATCACCAGAAAGTGGTTAGGACCGTTAGGACCGTTAGGAGTGAGGGAAGCTGGAAGTTGCACCAGGCGCAGCTCTGTAGCGAAGCGGACCGTTGCGTGGATCTGATCCAGGACGCAGCGAGCTTGTTTCATCATGGGAACGCACTGAAAGTTATAACGCTTGGTACGGCATACAGCTACAGTAGCTATTTCGAACTCAAGAGGAGATGGGTGGTGGGGTCACATCCTGGCATCTTCCATCGGATCATTGACATATATAGGTTCGCGTACAAACTCTTGATTTCTTTTGTGGGTTCTAAAGTTGTATTGTGTTATTCTGCACCCGGGTCGTCATCCACAAACTTCTAGACATGGCGTTCCCGTGGCATGCCGCAACGGCAACAGGAGCTTAATGCCAAAGATTCGGAGCATCGCTCACTGTCCAGGGACTTGATCAACCTCAAAGAGGCGTTGGGATCGTTTGGTCTCTGGCATCTCTGGGTCTCCCAAGTTAAGACATGAGACACAGTCGTGTGAGTCATATCACCTAACAGCCTAACGATGATGCCATTGTGGGTTCATCTTGTTCTACATGTCCCCCAAGCGATTTGAGACCAATTTGAATTTAGTTGAAAGCAAATGAGGAAATCACCTCTGCTTTACAATTCCTGCAGAGTGAGAGGAACTCCACGCCTAGGATGACGTGGCTAAGTCATATGCTAAGTCTACCGTCATGGCAGGAGTTGAAACATGAGGGCAGCGCAGCAACCAGCAACTCAGAGGCTGGCAGCGGTTTTGATGTGTGACGGAGGATGGATCAGTAGTTGCCTCCAGGATGCCATTGAATTGACTGAATTGATGCTGATTAACCAATATTAACCAATATATATTCACCACAGCCCTAGTATCCATGAAACTTGTCGACCAGCGTCTGTTGGACTTCTAAATCCTTGGCTCCTGCAGGCTCTGAAAGAATTGGGTAGCGAACTGGAAGAGGCCTCCAACATCAGACAACGTCGGGATTCAGTTGAGCTAGGGATAGTTAGGGATACATACTCTGTTGATTTCAGCTATGCTTCAATGCCAGAATGTATGTTGCTATTGCCTATGCAGCCGCCCAGCCCTGTACAAATCTGCTCCTGCCAGGAAAGACGCCGCTATCGCACCTTGGCAATGCGGCACATTGACCTGAAGGCCAAGACAGTCGTTCTACACGTTCAGTAAATGACATGATTAGACAAATAATTTGGTGTGTACTGGTACTGTGTTGGATGTCTTCAATCTTCCAGCTTTACTGAGCTAATTAGAATTAGATGCCTTGCTGCCTTGCCCTTGATTTTCTTGTACTGACAATTAATAGGCAAAAAATGTAGAAAAAAACGTACCGTGTTGGACTCGTGGGCTACTCTATGGTACTCTGCAAGTGCCAGGCTGAAGTTGATCAAGCGCAGCACTCCTCTGCTCAGGTGGAGGCATCGCAGGCTCCTCAGTTCACCCACTGCTAATACATCTACGCGATTCCCCAAAGGGCCAAAGATGGCCAAAGGGTTTAGAGAAATGGTTCCCTACTCGTACTATCTCGTACTATGCTGACTGTTCTGATGTTGCTCTTTCTTTTTTTGGGGAAGCCCGAAGATTCTGATGATTTTACGACTTGAACCCCTGCTGGCGTTTGATAGCTTGACAGCCAAAGATTCATAAGGAGCTGGAAGAGGACTGCCATGATGGCAAAGCTTCACAGGCCGCATTTGACGGGTGGCAGTTGTGTTTTGCCCACCGAAGATGAAGCTACTAGTGGAGGCTATGAAGGCACCACGGTTTGTGCACCGGCAAGCCCATTCCATCGGTTTCTCACAGGTTGCAGGACAGGGTCCATTGTCGTGAGCTTGGTGATTCTTCCTCTTTTCTTCTGAATGCGACAGACCAAATCAGAATGCACACCTAGCCGACCTAGCCAACTCAAGGCAGATAGGGACACAGTTGCACGATGTTGCACGATCCTTGCCAAATCTCGGGGGTAAGTGACACATCGACACATCGCCGTCGTCGCAATGGGAGACCCGATGGTACCATGGGGATCTATGGGGATTGCCGATGGGCGATGGCCTGAGGTGACCGCGGCCGCTTGGCCGAGAGCCAACGCATCTTCTGGGCCGAAGAGGCTGGGAATTGGAGTGAAAACGAATGACATGAAGTGGGGGACTCCGTTGCTCAGGTAGTGTGGTAGTATTTTAATGTATTTTAATGTATTTTTAATGTATTTCATACTATTTTACGAAAGCCAGCTAGCTGGCTAGTTGCTGTTTGCGAACGAAGTGAGAATAGGGGGGGGGTTGGTTGCCGAAAGGGAACGAAATCTCGCCGTGCCCCTGTGTTGAGCGCCAGAAAACGGAGCATTTTGCTGGATTATGTACCACTAGGTAATTTGCTGACGGTGGGGTATCGATCCCCCCTAGGTCCGCCTTTTTGGTGGCCGGAGAGACCATGAGGATGTATTGGAAAATACAATGAAACTGCAGGAAAACATGATAACGATCAGAGGAAATCGTACAAAATCCCCTGGAAAACGGACGAAAACGGAGTGAATGCTAGGAACAAACCATGGAAAATCGTTGGAAAATGGAGGAAACCGGAGCGAATGCTAGGCGCAAACCATGACGATGCAGTAAACATGCTGGAAAAATACAATGAAAGTGCAGGAAAATGTGATAACAACGAGAGGAAACGGTGCAAAAAGGATCGGAAAATGAAGGAGACAGGTAAAACTCTTGGATTAATATTAATTTTGAAAAGGTATGAAAATGCAGGAAACCAGAGGAAATGGTGCAAAAACCTATGGAGGAAAGAGGTGAAAATGATAGGAAACATGTAGTAAAAAAATGCTGGACAAAACATGTTGAAAACCCACGAAGAGGATGTATTGGAAAATACAATGAAACTTGAGGAAAACATGATAACGATCAGAGGAAAATGCTAGGAACAAACCGTGCAAAATCTGTTGGAACATGGAGGAAACCGGAGTGACTGCTAGGAACAAACTATGACGATGCAGTAAACATGTTGGAAAAAGACAGTGAAAGTGCAGGAAAATGCGATAACAACCAGAGGAAATGGTGCAAAAACGATCGGAAAATGGAGGAGACGGGTAAAACTCTTGGACAAATACATTGAAAATGCAGCAAACCGAGGAAATGGTGCAAAAAGGAGACGGGTAAAAATCTTGGAAAAATAGATTAAAAATGCATGAATAGACTGAAAACCCACGAAGAGGATATAGAAACTGCAGGAAAACATGATAACAATCAGAGGAAATCGTGCAAAATCCACTGGAAAATGCTGGAAAGATACAGTGAAGGAAAATGTGATAACAACCTGGCAGGAAAATGTGATAACAACCAGAATAAAGGGTGCAAAATCTGTTGGAACATGGAGGAAACCGGAGCGACTGCTAGGAACAAACTATGACGATGCAGTAAACATGCTGGAAAAATACAGTGAAAGTGCAGGAACATGCGATAACAACCAGAGGAAATGGTGCAAAAACGATCGGAAACTGAAGGAGACGGGTAAAACTCTTGGAAAAATACATTGAAAATGCATGAAATGCAGGAAACGAGAGGAAATGGTACAAAAAGCCATAGAGGAAAGCGGTGAAAATGGTAGGAAGCATGTAATAAAAAAAGCTGGACAAAACACAGTGAAAACCTACAAAAGAGAAGAAAGTAACCACAGGAAACGGTAGAAAAAGCAGTGGAAACTGGAAGAAAAGTTGTGACAATATTAGGAAAACGGTGTGCAAGCTAGGAAATGCTTGTAACAACTAGAGGAAACGATGTAGAAAACAGTACAACATGGAGGACACGCGTGAACATGCTAGGAGGCATGTAACATGTTAGAAAAATACAGTGAAAACCTAGGAAAATGTTATCAAAGGAAGTTGGGAAGCAATACTTCCGAGTTACGGACAAATAGAATTCTGAGACTTGAAATGATGAAGGGTGGTATGTCATCTAACAATACATAACAAAAGAATAAGAAGCTATTCAGTTGACCTTGATGAAGGGTGGTAGATCACATAACAATACATAATGTACCAATACATAACAAAAGAATAAGAAGCCATGCAGTTGACCTTGATGAAGGGTGGTAGATCACATAACAATACATAACAAAAGAATAAGAAGCTATGACACAGGGTGGGTGAAGAAGGGAAGTGATGACGAAGGGAAGTGGTGACGAAGGGAAGTGGTGACGAAGGGAAGTGGTGACGAAGGGAAGTGGTGAAGAAGGGAAGTGGTGACGAAGGGAAGTGGTGACGAAGGGAAGTGGTGACGAAGGGAAGTGGTGACGAAGGGAAGTGGTGACGAAGGGAAGTGGTGACGAAGGGAAGGGGTGACGAAGGGAAGTGGTGACGAAGGGAAGTGGTGACGAAGGGAAGTGGTGACGAAGGGAAGTGGTGACGAAGGGAAGTGGTGACGAAGGGAAGTGGTGGCGAAGGGAAGTGGTGAGGAAGGGGAGTGGTGACGAAGGGAAGTGGTGACGAAGGAAAGTGGTGACGAAGGGAAGTGGTGACGAAGGGAAGTGGTGACGAAGGGAAGTGGTGACGAAGGGAAGTGGTGACGAAGGGAAGTGGTGGCGAAGGGAAGTGGTGAGGAAGGGGAGTGGTGACGAAGGGAAGTGGTGAAGAAGGGGAGTGGTGAGGAAGGGGAGTGCAGATCGCATTGGAATGGCTGCATGAATGTTGCATGGGCTATGTTTTGGGGAGGAAGCCGGAGAACGAAACCTTGTGTTTTTCCGTGTAAAGTGGCTGCAGGCGACGATGAAAGGTACCTCGTCTGTGCGGCGGGTGCGGCTGGGGTCGTTTTGTGCGCGAATTGTTCCTCCTATGTGTTTTGCAACGAGTGGTTGTGTCTGTGTGCGTAGTTCTATGCGGTTCTTGAATCTCTGGTTGCAGATTGCATTGGAATGGCTGCCTCATTGTCGCCATTTGATGTTGCCACGTGCGTAGATAGGTGCGGGTTTGCAACGGGATGCTGCGAAACGCATTGTAATGGCTGCATGAATGTTGCATGGGCTATGTTTTGTGGAGGAAGCCGGAGCACGAAACCTTGCGTTTTTCCGTGTAAAGTGGCTGCAGCCGACGATGAAAGGTACCTCGTCTGTGCGACGGGTGCGGCTGGGGTCGTTTTGTGCGCGAATTGTTCCTCCTATGTGTTTTGCAACGAGTGGTTGTGTCTGTGTGCGTAGTTCTATGCGGTTCTTGAATCTCTGGTTGCAGATTGCATTGTAATGGCTGCATGAATGTTGCATGGGCTATGTTGTGGGGAGGAAGCCGGAGCACGAAACCTTGTGTTTTTCCGTGTAAAGTGGCTGCAGGCGACGATGAAAGGTACCTCGTCTGTGCGGCGGGTGCGGCTGGGGTCGTTTTGTGCGCGAATTGTTCCTCCTATGTGTTTTGCAACGAGTGGTTGTGTCACACCCCCAACTACTAAAGGGTTTGAAATGGTATACCCAGGGCTCTCCGGAAAAGGGGTCTAGAATGGTATTTTTTCATGTTAGACCCCAACCCCCTGATGATCTCAGACCCCTCAACATAGGTTTTTATCATACTTCCCATAATCATAATAGACCCCAAAACTGATGATTCCAGACCCCCCACCGTTTAGGTCTAATATGATCAATCTCATTTTTGACAATTTGAGGGGGTGGTTTCACCCTAGACCCCTTTTTGGGGTCTGGAATCATTCCACCCCCCCCAAAACTTCCTCCCACATTTGGGGTCTAAAATCAAAAACGTAAAAGGGGGGGTTTACAAAAAAGATATTAGACCCTGCTACGTTATCTCACATAACTTGATGTAAATTTTAACGGGTTTCCTACGTTTTTGATTGTTTTCGTACGTTTTTTGATATAATTAGGATCTGTGTGATCTCAAAGTAGGCATTTTTGTTTGTGCATGTTTTTTTGGACATGCAAATTTTATCACATTCTAATGGTGAATGCTGGTGAATGGATGCAGTGATCATTTTTTGCATTCCGCACGTTTCGAAGTTGCCATTTGGCACAAACCTCTCTTTCTGCATCCGTCTGCAAACTTTGTTACTGTTGCAATGCCGACTCAAAAGCCTGAAGCTGCCCGCTGCTGTGAAACTCGTCCTGCTTTTATTTGATTCCTTAGTGGCCGCAAGTGATTGATCGTTCATTTTTTGTTTCATTGGGGGTCTGAAATGGTATTTTGCATCATCAGCTGTTGAAAGAATGGTTCAACCTCCAAGTAAGACCAACCTAGACCCTCTGTTGTATATCTTATTTGTGAGCTCTACATGGTTTTTCTTGCATATTTTGAAATGATGTCCAATTGAATGGTGTGTGAATCTTGAAATACGACCCTCTTTTGTTGATGTGTTTTTGTCCCGACAGGTTGAAAGTCCCAACAGAAAATGCCAGGGGTTGAGCTGTGGAATTCAGTTTTTTTGTTTCATTGGGGGTCTGAAATGGTATTTTGCATCATCAGCTGTTGAAAGAATGGTTCAACCTCCAAGTAAGACCAACCTAGACCCTCTGTTGCGAGCCTATGCCTTGTTTGTGAGCTCTACATGGTTTTTCTTGCATATTTTGAAATGATGTCCAATTGAATGGTGTGTGAATCTTGAAATACGACCCTTTTTGTTAATGTGTTTTTGTCCCAACAGGTTGAAAGTCCCAACAGAAAATGCCAGGGGTTGAGCTGTGGAATTCAGTTTTTTTTGTTTCATTGGGGGTCTGAAATGGTATTTTGCATCATCAGCTGTTGAAAGAATGGTTTAACCCCCAAGTAAGACCAACCTAGACCCTCTATTGTGAGCCTATGCCTTATTTGTGAGCTCTACATGGTTTTTCTTGCATATTTTGAAATGATGTCCACTTGAATGGTGTGTGAATCTTGAAATACGACCCTTTTTGTTAATGTGTTTTTGTCCCGACAGGTTGAAAGTCCCAACAGAAAATGCCAGGGGTTGAGCTGTGGAATTCAGTTTTTTTGTTTCATTGGGGGTCTGAAATGGTATTTTGCATCATCAGCTGTTGAAAGAATGGTTTAACCCCCAAGTAAGACCAACCTAGACCCTCTATTGTGAGCCTATACCTTATTTGTGAGCTCTACATTGTTTTTCTTGCATATTT